GAGGTCAACAAGAGAATTATGCAAAATGAGTCAGTAGAGATAGGCAGGGGTGATCATAAAAGATGTGTAGTTCTTGTTAAAGACCTTGTATTTTACTGGAAATTTGTTGAAGATTTTTAGCATAGAAATAGTGTGATACACTTCAAGTTAAAAAAAAAAATCACATTGCATTCTGGGTCCTGGATCGCCAGGTATAAGAAACAAAGCAGAAAGGTCAATTTGGAGACCATTCGTAGTGGTTGAGGTAAAAGATATTAGTTGCTTGAACCTGATGATGGCAGCAACTTAGAGAAAAGTAGACAGATTTGAAATCTGTGACAGAGGCAGACCTGATGTATTTAGTATGGGAGATGAGAACGGGTAAAGTGTTGAGGAGGACCTGCAGTGTATTTTTTGAGCAACTTGATGAGTGGAAGTGATGCTGGCATGACATGGAGCCTGAGGTGGAGATAAGAGCAATTTTGGTTGTCTTAATTTTAATTTTAAGGTCCCTCTAAAAGGAAAATAGTTGCAGATGATGCCATATTAGTATTTGACAGGAACTTTAAACATACAAAGACGCAATGTAATGATACGCTCTGTAGGTAAGTATATCATATGCTTTTCATTTAATGAAAGGTTACTGTTTTAATCCTCAAATAGAGGTTTGTTAGAAAACTATTAAGACAGAAGAGTTAATTTTGTTTCTTAATAAACTGAACTTTAGAAAAGCTAAAGAAGTGTAGGGATTTTATCTAATTCATGTGATAACTATAACATGATTCATGGGAGAGAATAAAAGCTTTTAACTTTATAACCTTGTTCTACAGCAAATGATTATCCGACACTTTAACTTTTCTAAATGTCTGTAGTTTCTAGAGAACAGTTTAGTTATGGGAAAGGAAATATTTAAAAATATCTTGGGAGTGTTTTAGGTTGTGTAGATTATCTAAATATTATTTTGGAACACTTATTTTTATCTTCTCTCCTTTACCCTGATCTTTCCCTTTGTGATCATTAAAAGTAAAATAAAAATTTCTGAGTATAGCAGTTAATATATTTTTACTGCAAAGACACATCTAGAAATCACATCTAAAAGTTAAGTAAAAGATATCTGCCACTTCTCGGAAAAACTCAGCCCCCTTATATGCCCTGATGGCTTACTCTCCTTTGGTATAATTACTTCATTACTCAGACTGTGTGCACATGACTTGCATTCTTTTACCGTGTACCTGTTTGCTATGTTTACTCATGTAATTCTGTCTTTTATTCGTAGTCACTTTAGTGCTAAGAGGGTAAAAGTAGAGAATTGGTGGTAATATTATTCATGCTACAGTGAATTCCCACTGTGCTAAAATCAGGATTATAATTCTGCCCATGGATGGCTACTTGGAGGCCTGAATTCTCACTCAAAGAAATTTAAACCATTTGATGAGAGCAATGAAATGATGCTTATTTCTGAATTTTCATTGTTTAACTCTTTGTTTGTGATCTATCCTAATACTAGATTAGACTAAAAAAAATGTATTTACAGAGTATAAAGTCTCTAAAGACAATAAGATAAAATGTCCATTATGAAGTAATCTGTAGACATTGGAGGCTGAGGCTAGTTTACTTTCTTAAGAATAAAAGGAGAAAACAATTGATGCTTTTTTAATATTAATAGGATTATGTGATAATAGCCATATGACTAAAATTCCAAATGCTTTTCTGAATTCAGAGTTGTGTATGAGTATAAGCCTTAGGATTTCATGGGAAGATGTATGTTTATTTCATAACTAAACTTAGAAGTTTGGAAATTAAAGCAGAAAATACTCTTTCCTAGACCAGATATTGAAAAAGTACAGGACAGACACAATCATTTTTATAGATAAAAACTGCTAAAAGCTAATTAGCACTGCAAAGGGCATTGGTAACTGGTGATAATTTACTCCAGTGATATAAAGGCCAGACACACAACAAGGTTGATGCAATTGTTTTATATTATATTAATATTCTTATATCTAAAACAGATTTTTTAAAAAATTGTGTTTTTACAGACTATTTTTAAGCATTCATTTACACATGTAGAAACACTTAGCTGCCCTTCTGGTCTCTGAAGAACAGGAACAACCTCAGTTGTACTGACAATTGAAGCTCACTAGAGTAGGTCAAGGAAAAATTCTTTTTATATAGTTTGCAAAAGTTGAAATAATGTAGAAGGAGGCAAAGGAGAAATGTAACTGTATTTCTTGCCAGGCAATTTTAGTTTAAAATCTGTATGAAATTAGATAGTATATTCATGTGAAATAACACTGTCCAAAAAAAAAGAAAAAGTGAGCCACATGAATGGTTGTGTTTTCTTGTAGCCACATTAAATAATAGAAGAAATGGGTGAAATTAATTTTAATGGTATATTTTATTTAACCCTATATACAAATATTGCTTCCAAATATAATCAGTATAAAAGTTACATGTTTATATTATATTTTTATAAAAATTACATTTTTTACTCTTTTGGCAAATCTCAATTGAGACAAGTCAAATATCAAGTGCATGTATGACTGATAGCTACCTTATTGGCCGGCATAGCTCTAGTACAAGTACTTTCTTTTTCTTATTTTCTACTCATCCACAGGGAGCTCAGGAGCAATCATTGACTAGTTTTGGAAGTGAAGACTGCATATTTATGATTTGGTTCGGGATGGCTTCTGGCAGTAGCAGTGTGTTTAATACTCCTGTATAACTCAAGCAGCAATTATGCAGTCAAGGATTTGGTATAATGAAGGCTGAAGAATGGCTTGACTTGCCTGTATTCTTAGTGAGCATACCTGTTGTGATTGTCCTGAGAACATTGTGTTCTTGATTTGTGGAGAAATGAGTTGTGAATTTCCTATTTTATTTAAAAAATACACTTTAAGTAATTTTCTTTTGCAGAGATGTAAGATGCATTTTATTTTTTTTATTTTCTAAAGTAAAAATCTTTTAAAACCAACTATTTATGTATAATAATACTTTTAAAAGACTGGCATCGTATTTCTTACATCATAATCTTTTTTGGGCGTAGATATAGTAATTAAATATGTATATTGATATTCACTCCCTTTGTTATTTTATTGAAGGCATTTGAAACAAAAATAGCATTAAAAGTTTCAGAATAAAGGCATTAATTTATTTTGGTAATTATTATTGTTTGAATATGTGAGTTACCTAAATATGCATTTATTGAGGTTAGATTTTAATAATAAAAACCCTTCTTAAATGAATCCTGCTTTATGCACTTTGTGGGCTAAATGAAATTAGGCTCTCAACTTTTATCTGAATCTATGGAGCTTGGATGCAAATTGAAAAGATCACAGCTATGGGGAGAAGACCTATACTGCAAAGGCCTTTCTGCATAGATTATGAACATAACTCAATAATTTTTTCAAAACTGTGGTTATAATTGGACCCAATGGGGATCTGTTTCTTTGATCAGATCACAGTAACTGTGACTTTACACTGGAAAATGTCACTACTGTGAAGGTTTATCACCTGTAGAGCTGGTCTTTTCTCTGATGCTGTGTTCATTTCTCATTAGCATTATTCAAAGTTTAGTTGTTAATTAGGTTGACACTTCAATTACAATCGTCTACAAGTGAAGTCAGGGCTACTTGCATAAAGAAGTAAAAATTTCCCTTCTTGCATATATATATATGTGTGTGTGTATATATGTATACATGCATGTGTATGTATGTGTGTATATATATGTGTGCATATATATGTATGCACATATGTACATAAAAAGGAGAAATGACACTATTTTGTTATATGATAGTTTAATAAGGGTAAGAATATGCTCTGTTAAGTGAGCATTCTAACCAAAATTTGTCTTACCACTTTTTTTCTAAATAAAACAGAACTGTTATACAACTTAACATGTTTCCATTTTAAGCATTGATGAATATATATGAGAACCAATATTTTTTAATGTACAGAATATAGTTTTCTATTTTGTATGAAAGGAATTGGTACAGTGAATTGGATGCATAGGAACATTTTATATGTCCTCCTCCTTAAAAAAAATAAGAGAACATTTTATATGTCCTGCTCCTTAAAAAAATAAGAGTTAAAACTCTGTTCATAAATAAGAAGCATTGTCTAAAATACATAGCACTTGAAATTAAAAGATAGAAAATGTATGAAAAATTACAACAAACTTAAATACCTTTTTAAATTATGCAGATTTCTAAATAAGTTTTTCTTTGATTTAGGAACATTAGTGTTTTAATCTGGTTCACGAGGCAATGATATTGAACTCAAACCATGTGGTAGTTGAAAAAACTGGACAGAACTGTGTTTAGATCCTAGCTTTGCCACTTACTGGCTACATAGTAAGGGCAAATGAATTCACATCTTTGTTCCTCTATTTCTTCGTTCGCTAATGGGAATATGAATGCTTTTCTTAGAAGACTTTTGTGAAGATTAAATGAGACAATGTATAAAATTTGCATGAAATTCTCCACTCATGGTATAATTTCAATAATTTTATCTCCTCTTCCCTCTTTTTTATCTGATAATGACAAAAACTTTGCAACAAATGACTGGAAAATTACATATGCAAATGAGACTTCCAAAAATAAAATTAAATGGTAAGTGGTTCTGGAAGACCTGTAACAAATAACCTTACATAGCAAAAACGAACGAAACCCAACCTGCTTCGTCTCAAAACAAGTAGACACATGTTGTAATTGCTAAAAATCTGTGGAAAAGTGGCTCACAAACAGTTTATTGTAAAATAATTAAAGCTTATTTATGTCAAGAGGCCTTGGGAAAAAAAGAGAGCATAAACCAATTTGCATTAGCACGTTACTCTCCTTTCCTGCTTTCGGTTCAATTAACAGATCAGCAGGTGCTCTCTGCAGTTAAAAAGATAAGCTATCAGGGAGGAGGATGAATTTTTGGCTGACCTGCAGACACTGTGGTTTGCCTGCTGATTGGGTTCCTACCTCGCTGTACCAATTTCTGAGGTGTTAATTTAACTGTTCCTCTCTGTCATGCAGGTCGCGGCCTTGAAAAATAAACTGAAGAAGCAGTCTACAGCGACGGGTGATGGAGTAGCTAGGGCCTTTCTTAGAGCACAGGCTGCTTTGTTTGGATCCTACAGAGATGCACTGAGATACAGACCTGTAAGCATTTTGTTTCATCACTGTTTTAATTTGCTGTTTTATGGTTGTTTGGAATGAGACAGAAGAAAGAGACATCATTTTAATATCGTACCTTGAGAAAGTATCATGGAAGTCTTTTAAGATCCCAAATAATATGTTTTAAAACAAACATTTCATCTCCAATTTTTGATTTTTTATTTTTAGTTTTGTTTAGTACTCTTATTAATATTTCCCACAGTCTTTGTGTCATCTTATTAATGTTCTAGAAGTAGCTTACCCCTTAACTACTTAATGAATTGTATTAATGTATTTTAAAACATTACCTGATCTTGTTAAGATCCTTAAGAAATTCATAAGACAATTGGGCTTATTGGATTAATGAGATTAATGAGTTTAGAAATGACAGGTACAAAGTGATATTTAAGAAAAGTAGAACTTGAAGGTATTTGGAAATTTGTTGTCTTCCTAATTGATGACACTTTGCTAAGGTCAGCTTATCTCTTTAGCATATCTTAGCTCATTTTCTCATTCTTTCTGTTTTAGTACACTAATTTTTAATGTGTAGAATTATAGCCAAGTTTTTGGAGAGTCTGAAAAGGTGCAAGTCAAAATACATTTGTTGCTCTCTCTGAATTGTTGGTTAGAGTATGTTAGGCTGATTTTACAGAAATTATTACACTATTTCTTCCTTCACTGGGTGAATACGTTGTAAGAAATAAAAACATTGATTTAGTAATAAGAAGACCTGCTATTGAATAGGAATCTGTTACTAAGCTGCGTAACTTTGACCTGTTTCCTTAGTTTGTCTAGATTTTGATCTTTGTATTTGTAAAATGAGAACTCTTATACCTTCCCTCTCTATCTTTCAGGGTGGTATAAAACTCAATTGTAAACTGTGAAGCACTAAACAAACGTGAATGGGTTAGATCTTCTCTAAATTGACTTCTGAATTAATGGTTCCCACTCAGGTGGTCCATATAGCTCTAAAAGGCTATCAAATTATTGGAAGGAGTCTTTAAATGCGTGGGTAGATCAGCTGCTGTTTCTATACATGTGTTCAATTTAGATGCTAATCTTTTTGAGATATGTGTATATTTTTAAAGCATTATAAAATTCATAGTACTGTTGAAAGTATGCATTATCTCACATCGGGGAGTCTGAAAAGGTTGTTTATAGTTACAAAGGTCTCATTCTTTAAAAGACTGGAAACCAATAATATATTCCCTAGTAGAGCATATTTATATTTGAATTGTTCAACATCAAATAAAACAAAAATGAGTTTGAAACATAAAATAGTGATTAATTCTAGTTACGTCAGATTTTCAAAATAGGAATTGATTTCAAGTTTACAGTACAGGAATGAAAGTTAAAAATACCACTTTGCTTGAATTTTGACATAATTTAATACATATTCATCTTTGTAAATAAACTTTTCATTTTTAATTTAAAGTTTATTAAGGACTTCAGATTTAAAGAAAGGAGCAAATTGAAGTGAGGAGAACATTTTCTTAAATGATTTAAGCTATCAGTGTGTTGGGTACTGAGTGAAATTAACAAAATATTCCATATGTAGTATTAGTAACTATAGATTTTATTGTTTAGTTTTTCTCACCCCTTAAGCTTCATTGAGCAGATAGGAGTGTAAGATTTCAATGATTAACCTTTTTAAATAAAAGTCTAAAAAGCCAGATTGGTAGTATCTGCGAAAAATGTTTAATTTTGTCAGAGTATCTTTCTTATTTATTGATCACATTTTGTTATAGATTTATTTGTTTAGTTGTCTACATGTTATTCTTTTTACATTTGTTATTTTCTTCTTTTCATTTCTGCTGCTAGTTCTTTTTAGGAGCTGAGGGATAGTATTTTCATTTTGCATGCCTTTACATTTCTTCTGACTCAATCTTTGACTGAAAGCTTCCTTTTTAATGTATACTGAATGCATTTAGATTATTTTTCATTTAGTTTCACAATAAATAGTTTATAAGGAAAATGATTTATTTCTTTTTTGTGCATAAACTATGCTTTTTCAACCACTGCCTTCATAAATTACCCTGTACCATAATATATGTATGAAAAGTATATTAATTTTTTGTTTTATAACTCTTTTTGGTCATTGGTATAATAGGCTAACGTCTTCTCTCTGCACTTAGCCCTTTTTTTAAATAGCAACCAAAATATATTTTAAATCAGCAAAATATATTTTGCTTTATATTTTAAAAAAGGGCTAAGTGCCAAGAGAAATTTCAAAAACATATTTAAGGTGTATTCTGTAGCTATTACAGTACGATTGGAAAGGGAAAGATTACTAAGTAGGTGTTAGTGATGTGAAGTATTTTTCTAGACATTACTTTTTAAAATTTTATGATTGCTTACACACATAAAAATAAAACATTATTTCCCTTACTTTTAGCAGAATTAAACCTATAGGTTAGACCAATGACTGACCAGTCTCAGAAGCCATCTCTTCACCTGGCATTCAAGGCCCTTACCATGAGCAAGCAGTCTGTTTTCCTTTTTTCCTAAACTTTGACCTCAGTTCGGAGAATTCTGCCTGTGGTTTCAGATGTCTCAAGCTTCTCAGGCTTCCACACATTTACTTATAATGTTCTTTCTTGGCAATGCTTTTAATCCTCACTTTTAATAGCCATCTAGTTCCTTCATGATCCTGGAAACTGTAGTTTGTACTGACCCCTTCTTTCTATGAATTAATTATGCTTATTTTACTTAACACATTTCTTCACCCTTTTTCACATATTATTTGTTATATCACATTGTTATTTTGATTGATATTTATAATTTTTGATCACTATTAAAACATTAACTGATCATTGAGCACCCATTGGATGCCAGGCATTGATAGGCCCATTGGGTAAGTGGTTTTGTTGAATTTTTACAAGCCTTCAAAATATTACCGTTTATGTTTTAAAGATGAGGAAAATGATCTTCATAGAATTTAAGTAACCTTACTGTTTAGCTAGTGAACAGTGGAGCTTAGATTTGAATCTGTTCTCTTCACAGTTTCTTTCTTGCTCCAGTGTGACATATTTCTGTTCTTCCTTGCCTCAGTTATCATATGATATACTTCTCAAGATATGTTTCCTGAATGTACTTTACTTCTAAATGAAGATACATGAAAGGCATTCAGTATTCACTAATGGAAAAATAGAAAGTCTTCAGAATTTTCTTAATGGAAACAGGTGGTATAGGCATCTCATAGTGGGTATATAAATTGGGGAAATGATTTGATCTTTATTCTATTTCCATTTATGGTTTTGTTTACCTGGAGTGACTTATACTATTTAAAGTGGCTTCATCCTCTTCCCTCCAGTCTTCTAATTCTTCTCTTCCCTTCTTTGTCTTAATATTCTACACAGCAGGACTGAATATATTATATGGAAAGGGAGTTTTGATTTGTCTGTTTTCTTACTCTGTAGAAAATCATCTAAAGTAAAGTCAGTGGCCAGATAGGTCATTTTATAAGAATATACTTCTTATTCTGTTGATTTAGATGCATTATAGATATAATTTATGTTTATCAGATATATATTGAGTACAGCTGTAATAGACCCTCTCTGAAGCTTCTGGACCAAAAAGTAAATAATATTAAGCATGTGTCCTCCCTCCCGCCAGGAGCTTATAGTAATATAAGCTGATATAGTCATTTCTTCGCTAGCAGTAGTAAACAAGATAAATTAGAAAATAATAAAAGAAAATTATGCTTCTAAATCTATGGGAAACAAGAAACCTGGGAGATAACTATTAAATATGTGCATTTTTCTGGAGAGAGTATTCATATCTTTCACCATGTTCTCAAAAATGAACAAAACCAAAAAGAGTTAGGATTCACTCCATAGAGTCAGCAGAACCAGTCATAAATGACCTTTCAATCTGGAGAGTTTCTGCTTTAGCTTACAACTAATGCACAGTTTTTATAATTATTTATCATGGGAATGCAGTGCTTAGCATTGTGTAGTGGAAAGATCACGTTTATGATGTTGTTCATGTTCGACTGAAGTTGAGCAAGACCAGAGGCAGGGAGACAAGTGTGGCTATCATGGTCTTATTGAAGAGAGAGCGAGAAAGGACCTTTGTGACTATCCTAAAGGCTCAAATCTCAACGGCCTTGGGAAGGAAGACAGGAACACTGGATGACGATTAGGAGAAAAATACCCTCCAGGATGATTTGCATATTCCTCTACAGATACTAAATACATATGCTAAATACTGCCAAAAAGTAACTTCTTTTATAAATTAAGTAGTTAGAATGTCTGAGCTGGCAACCCTAAATATGTTGTTACTTACAGTGCCTAGTTGTTACTTACAGTGCCTAGTCCACAGTCTCTAAATGTTACACTGGCATGATTGGCAAATAAATTGTACCTACTCTTAAGTACAGAGAAAAATATAAAACTCCTTAAAATTTTTGGAAATTTAAATAAAGTAATGAATATTTTACTCTTTTTTTAGATTTTGGCCAACAGCAAGTTAGCTACTTTTTGAGAGTTGAAAAATGTGAGCTAAAACTAATGTACTAAATGAACTACAGAAAAGTGATAAGAGCACAAGACTCTGGAACCATACTTCCTGCATTCACCCTCATTCCGTGACAAACTAGTTGTATGACTTGGGGCAGATTAATCTATTAGGGCTTTGGTGTTTGCATTTGTTAAAAAGAAGTAATGATACTTCTTGGGTTGGCACGTAGTAAATGCTGTTTATGTTGCTGTTATTAAAAATAAAATATCAGAGTCAGTAAATTTAGTAAGGAAAATCCCTTTAACATAACCACAAACAATGCATCTTTCCAGAAAGGAAAACATTGCCTTAAACATGACAATACTTTTAAATGATCGCATTAAATAACTAATAAAGGATCTTCCTTGGAAAGGATCTGGGTGTTATCACTTGTGTTCCAGGCAATTACAAATAAGTCAAATTTTTGAGTAACATCTAAGGCTGAAGAAATGTTTGAGTTATTTCATATATTCAGAGACACACTTGATTATCCTATCTGAGAACCCAGAAGTAACACTCAAGTTTATTCCCTTTAATGCTTAACGTGCTGTCCTGTGTTTCTGTCACTCAGGCTTTCCTAGGCCGCCTTCAACCACCTTGCTAATGGATAAAAAATTATTTACTTTAAAAATAAAGATTGGTTAGTAATCTGGGCCTCGGTTTGACAAGTTGGAGGAGTTATCTTTTAACTATTTTTGATTATTTTCTTTAAAACATTATCAGTAAGAAATGTTATATTGAGTAAGCTTAAGCAATTTAAACACAGGGTTGGCATCCATAATTTAAAAGGCCATTCACTAAATCTTTGTCTTAACATTTCCATTTAAGAAATTTGTAATTGTCAACTTATTAAAGAGTTTTAAAAATCCAAGTTGAAAAGTACTATATACTCACTCCTCACAGTTTTATGGTCACTAAAACATTCTACGTATCCTTTCACGTCATTTCTCTTGCTTAAGCATAGATAGATCTGTTTACTTGAGAGATGGTTGCTACCAAAGACATAGTTGGTGTGCATCTGGCTTTCTAATGGATAAAAGTTGTTTTATGGCACTTTCTTTCTGCTCATTTCTACTGGGAAGAGAATTTTGCTTAATTGCTTTGGCAATAACATACGGTTTCTGCTCAAGTACTATGGAACAGATAGACTTGGGTAGTAAGTGTTCCATTTTTGTATCACTGATATGTTTTAGAGAATGGAGAGTGTTTTTCTCATTGCCTTAAGTTATGGGAAAGAAAAATGTATTTTTTAGTAGTATGTACAAAGTTAATGCACAATCTATTAATTTTTTCTAAGTGTTTAAATTTACAAAAAAAGCTAGAAACAGCAATATTTAATTTAGAAAAATTTGTTCCTTTTTCTGTCTTAGGTTACCAAATCATAGGTCAATAGAACATTAGTAGATAGCTGTAGTTTTTTTTTTTTTTCAAGACAGATCCAGCAACATGGGGATAATATGTACAAATAGAATATTTTAATGCTGATGATTAAACTTTATAGTTTGTCTATGAGGTTCTTTTTCATTGACTTCTAGCTAAAATGTCAGCAATGGAAGAAAATTACTGTTTCCATGGTTAGTATGCTCTGAAGTAGACTTGCTGTACCTTACATAATAATAGCATTGGGACATGTAGAAGAAAATACTATATAACCTGAAAATTATTTATTATTATTTCCTGTGAGATTCTGTAAATATGTGAACATTCCCATGAGATATCTGACAGCTGTCTTTCGGGATTTTAAATTTTAAATAGCCATCGATATGCAGTCATTTTTGCTTAGTTTGTTTATACTTCTTATGTAATCGTGATATTACATTTAGTCCAGGTGCATTAAGGAACTGAGTAGGTATAATGTAGATGTTTTGGATTATATTTCACATTTTTTACATTCTCATTCTTTCTGATGCACTAATTTTCTTTCATAGTCAACTCTTGCTAAGTCATACACATCCTGATAGTATAAGATCTAATCTCTGTTTTAAGTATTTTCTTGTTCTTACAAAGTTTTCTACTCCAGGGTATAGTATAGAACTTGAAAGACACTCATTCTTAAAAATAAACAAACAAACAAACAAAAACATTACACAACTAGTGATGTTGAACACTCTGAAGTTGAACATAATACTAAGGTAGAAAAACAGCTCTACTTCATCCATATCTTACTTGAGGCTTAATTATTCTATATAAATAATTCATATAGTAACTAGCAGATATTTACTTAACACTGAAAATGCAGGATACTGGGTTGGGTGCTGCAGAGCAGGGGTCCTCAGTCCCCGTTAGGAACCAGGCCAAATGGCAGGAGGTAAGCGGCAGGCGAGTGAAAGAAGCTTCATCTGTATTTGCAGCCACTCACCATGGCTCACATTACTACCTGAGCTCCACCTGCTGTCTCATGGGAGCAAAAACCCTATTGTGAACTATGTAGGAGAGGGATCTAGGTTGCATGCTCCTTATGAGAATCTAATGCCTGATGATCTGTCACTGTCTCCCATTACCCCCAGATAAGACCATCTAGTTGTAGGAAAACAAGCTCAGGGTTCCCATTGATTGATTCTATATTATTGTAAGTTGTATAATTATTTTATTATATATTACAATATAATAATAGAGTACACAGTAGATGTAATGTGCTTGAATCATCCCACAACCATTCCCCACTCCCCCGGACTGTGGAAAAATTGTCTTCCACAAAACCCGTCCCTGGTACCAAAAAGTTTGGGGATGCTGCCATAGAGAATGCAAAGATGAACAAGAATTTAGTTCCAGACCTCCAGAGTTCACAGATAAGATATATAAAAATAATATTGAATGTAAGGCAGAAAATTAGTTTCTAAGAAAATTGATTTCTCTTTTCTGTAATATGAACTTTATGCTAATTCTAGTTCAGATTATGTTTTCCTAATTTCTGTTTATGTTCCTTTGTTGGACTTTCCATCAAAACGATGGCTTTTGATTCCTTTCTTTTGGCCCCATCACTGTTTTATGGAACAAAATATTCCATTGTTTTTGTATCTTATCGGAATTATCTGATAAAGAGATTTTCTTTTGCATTGTTTTATGTTTATACCTGATTACTTTGTGTCTCTACAGAATCATATGTTTGTTTACTTTTCTGTGAATGAATATTACAACAGTTAAAAAAATAAATTACAGATGGGTCTTTCTCAGTTGCCTAAGTCCTTTTCTATAAGTAGAGTGATCAGCTCAACTTTAATACTCAAGTCTTTACAGATAATTCTTAAGTATGTATTAAATAATAAATTTTCATAACATGAGTTTTTATCTTTGTGCTACATTATCTTCATGTGTTTCTCAAACATCTGCAGTGGGTGTTGTTGGTGCCCTGCCAAGATGCCCCATACTTGTTGATGCCCCTTTGTGAAAAATTGCCCTTGGCTAAATGGAGGTGCCTCACCAGGAAGACTGTGTTCATCCTTTATCTTTGTACCTCTCACCATTGGAAAAGACCACTTCTTATAAGGGATATAAGAAGCTGGACTCTCTGCCTCAAAGTGTGATCAACTCTGTGGTACAGTTGGTGCTTTCCCATGGGATATGGTGAAGCTGATCTCCAGTGGAGACCATATTCCTGCTTGACTTTCTTCCTCTGCCCTATGTTGTTTTTCTTAATACCTTTTTCCTAAGAGTGATCTGTGAAAATCAATTGAACAGGAACCCCTGTCTTGGGCTCCAGTAGGAACACTACTTAAAAACATTTTATAAATAATGAAAATTGATTTTATTAACTTCTCCTTAAATGTGGTTTTCTTTCTATATTTCCAGGATCTAATACGTAATGTCATTTTATGACTCTTAATCCAGAAATCTGGAGTCACCTTTGACCTCTGCTTGTTGCTGTATATCAGTGGTTCTCAAACTTTTTGGTCTCTGGATGTCTTTATACTCTTAAAAATTGTCAAAAAGCCTTCATTTATGTGGGGTATATGTCTAAATATTGACCTTACTGGAAATTAAAACCGAAAAAATAAGCATTTCTTTTAAAGGCAATATAAACTAATTATATATGAATATAAAACATTTTTAGGAAAAACCGCTATATTCCTAAAACAAATTTAGTCTGAACATTATCATTGTTTTACATTTTTTTCAGATCTCTTTGATATCTGGCTTAATAGAAGTCAGCTGGATTCTGATATTCAAATCTATGTTCAGTCTATGGCAATATTGCCAACCATGTAGCTTTTGGCAAACTGCTGGATCTCAGGAGAAAATGAGAGTAAAGAGTGGGAATAATTACTTACATTATTATGAAAATACTTTTAATGTTGCAGGCTCTGTGAAAAAGTCTGTTCTTGGATCACACTTTGAGAAACATCACTGCATATCAGTTGACAAACTAGTCCTATTGATTTTGCCATGAAATGTTTAACAATGTAGTTAATGACATGAACTTCAAATATTCATAACCTTGGTTAAAATCATAGGCAGAATTTTTCTCATATCATTCAATTCAACTTTGATTTTAAAGAACTCATACTAAGAAGTCATTTATTAACATAATCTGTTTCATAGCATATGCTCTAAGTATGACAATAATTCAGGCTTCCAACGAAGGCAGTAATTGAGGTTCCTGGGTATTAATATATACAACTTTAGAGCATTATTAATAAAGACTTATTTTTTTCCTTGAAAGAAAATTCTAATGTGTCAGTGCTTTGTCTTTTGTTATCAGAAATTCTTAGTAAACAAAGCATGTCAATCAAATTGAAGGTTTATTTCAAAGTTTTTCCATGATTTGTGTCATCACAAGTGGATGGACAGCAAATCTGAGCTGTTTCTTTACTTGTTCTATGGAAAGACTGAAAGTAGTCGTCAGCAACAGAACAAGCCCTCATGGAAAAGGACTGTGTTTCATTATCTGAAGTAGGCTTCAGAAGGTGGATGATAAGAAACTTCTGGGAATTAAAAGAACTTGTTCTAACCCAATGTAAAGAAACTAAGAACTTTGAAAAAAGGTTTGACGAAATGCTGAAAAGAATAGACAATATAGAGAGGAATATAAATGAACTAACAGAGTTGAAAAATACAACACGAGAACTTAGTGAAATATGCACAAGTTTAAATAGCAAAATGGATCAAGCAGAAGAAAGGATATCAGAGGTCGAAGACCAACTTAATGAAATAAAACAACAGGACAAGAATAGAGAAAAAAGGATGAAAAGGAATGAGCAAAGTCTCCAAGAAATATGGGACCATGTGAAAAGACCCAATCTACGTTTGATTGGTGTACCTGAATGTGATAGAGAGAATGAATCCAAGCTGGAAAATACTTTTCAGGATATTATCCAGGAAAATTTTCCCAATCTAGCAAAGCAGGACACTATTCAACCCCAGGTAATACAGAGAACACCACAAAGATATTCCTCAAGAAGAGCAACCCCAAGGCACATAATTGTTAGATTCACCAGGATTGAAACGAAGGAGAAAATACTAAGGGCAGTCAGAGAGAAAGGCCAGGTTACCCATAAAGGGAAGCCTATTAGACTTACAGCAGATCTCTCAGTGGAAACCCTACAAGCCAGAAGAGAGTGGGGGCCAATATTCAACATCCTCAAAGAACAGAACTTTCAGCCTAGAATCTCATATCCTGCCAAACTAAGCTTCACAATTGAAGGAAAAATAAATCTTTTATGAACAAGCAAGTACTCAGAGATTTTATTACCACCAGGCCTGCTTTACAAGAACTTCTGAAAGAAGCATTATACATAGAAAGGAACAACCAGTATGAGCCTTTCTAAAAATATACCAAAAAGTAAAGAGCATCAACATAAAGAAGAAGTTACATCAACCAATGGATAAAACAGTTAGTTAACATCAAATGGCAGTAATTCTAAATTTAAATCGACTAAATCCCCCAATCAAAAGATACAGCCAAAACCTAACAGTATATCCAAAGATACACAAAGACTCAAAACAAAGGGTTGGAGAAAAATTTACCAATCAAATGGAGAGCAAAAATAAATAAATAAACAAAAAGCAGGAGTTGCAATTCTCACATTTGATAAAATAGATTTCAAAGCAACAAAGATACAGTGGTAAAAGGATCAATGCAACAATAAGAGATCTTAATACCCAGATACATAAGATCCATAACGAGTTTTAGACTCAATGAGACAGAAAATTAATAAGGATATCCAGGACTTCAACTCAGATCCGGAACAAATAAACTCAATAAATATTTATAGAGTTCTCCATTTTAAATACACAAAATATTGATCGGCCATTATTAATACCCATTTTTAGAATGAAGCAATATTCCTGCTCTCTCTCCCTCTTTTTCTTCCTCTTTCTTCCTCTCCTTCTCTCCTTTTTTTACTTTTCAACATCCTAGTTCCTCACCTCTATTCAATACATTCCTCTGAACACCTGATTCCTTGTGATTCTCCCATCCCACTGAAACCTCCAATCCATTAAAAAAAAAAAAACCCAAAAACTAACAACTCCTACTTTTATTCACATATAATAGACTTCTTGTTCATTGTCAGGCTTAGAAAATTTTAGCTTTTCTTGGCTTGTGAAACTGAGCACTTGAATTTGTGTTATAGTATTTGCAATTCTTAACTCTAGAACATGATGAGCTACATCAATAGTCTTGTTCATCCACTGAGCTACTTTGCCAGATTGCTGAAAGCTTTTAGTTATTAAAAAAAAAAAAAAAAAAAAAAAAGCTGTAATAAGAATCTAGACTCTCTGGCAAAAAGAAAAAAAAAAAGTACTCAAAGCTTAATGAGGATGTAATTCTTCCAGCTTAATTCACACAGGCTAATAATTAAATTATGCCCAACTCTGGAGAAAGCATAGATAGACTTTAGTCTCATCCATTTCTTCTTGCCTTGAAATACATCTTTACATATTTAAGGAAAAAATCTATCACATTAAAACTAAAGTTACTATTAGTCCTGATTACTTTGTAATAGCAGTGATGCCAGAACTGCCATTAGAAGCAATTACTTTTATTTATTTTTAAAATTGTCCTTATTTTTGCAAGGATGATATGTCATATGGATTAAGGCTTAGCTCATTTGCTATTTTATTTTTAGAATTCAATCATAAAACATTTATTGGGCTCCCAGTGTAGCTAGGTATGATGATCGTACTGCTAGAGATAAGAAAACAATAGATCTTCATCTTTAACAGTCTTGCCTGTTGTAGATTTTCTTCCTCTGATACATTTGTGATCATACAAGATATATTTATGTAAATTAGTCCAGTTTAAAAAGTACGTATTTTAAAAATCATCTGTAGCTCTTTATGATCGGCAATAATAGCCTGGGTATGGTGGCTTATGCCTATAATCCCAGCATTTTGAGTGGCTGTGGTGGGCAGATCACTTGAACCCAGGAATTTGAGACCAACCTGGGCAACATAGTAAAACCCAGTCTCTACAAAAAGTACAAAATAGTAGCCAGGCATGGTGGCATGTGCCTGTAATCCCAGCTACTTGGGAGGCTGAGGTGGGAGGATCACCTGAGCCCAGGAGGTCAAGGCTGTAGTGAGCTATGAATGAACCACTGTAATCTAGCTTGGGTGGCAGAGTGACACCCTCTCTGACCCTGCCCCCCTGAAAAAAATTGGCAAGCATCTGTATAAAAATGTGTAATGACATTTTTATTATGGATCATTGGCTGGTGGTTGGTGGTGGGTGACACCACTTAACAGTTTATCAAATTGTCTTCTTTAATAATTTGTTTCAGTTTTCTTTTCTTTTTTCTATAGCAGTGCTATCCAAGAAAACTCTTTGTACTATCAGAAATGTTCTATATCTGTACTGTTCAATGTAGTAGCCACTAACCACATGTGACTATTGAGTAAGACTGAGGAACTGAAGTTTTAATTTAATCTTAATAAATTTACATTTACATAGCCACATGTGACTAGTGTCTACTGAATGTGACAGTACAGTTCTGTAGTGTATTAACTATTAGAAAGTGGCAATAGTTGAATTACATAGATAGTTATTCACATTATCTTATTTATACAGGAACCTATTTTCAGAATTTTACTTATAGATACCTGTAGTGAAGACATTGAGTCTTCCTTAAGATTAAATTAGAATTGTTATTTTTTTCAAAGTTCTGTTAGAACTTTTTCCTATGACAAATATATTTTTTTCCTTATTTGTATGACAAATATTACTACAAGGTGCATGGTAATAAATGAATCATTTTTATTCATCTCTGTTTTCATTTTTATCTTAAAGTTTAGTCAGTTATCATCGTATGTGTTGAATGGGCAAAGGAGCTGTTCAGGCTGATGAGAGAAATAGGAGGTGGTAGGGATTAGCCACTGGGTGATGATTTTCTGCATATGTGCAAAGGAATAAGTAGAAAAAAAATGGAATCAATAGAATCCAAGGTAGAATCAATAGAATCTTAAATCTCAAGATTTAAGTCCTTGCTGATTTGGAGGAGCATTTGGTAGAGCTATCACAAGACACTTGCAAAGATATGATTACTTAGCGCAAAGGATTAATGAAAACAGGTGCCAAGTAGGACTTATCCTAGAAAGTATCCAGTGTGAATTGTTTAGCAATTATGAAGGGAAGGTGATTGTAAAATTTTTTTTCATGAATTAAAAAGCAAGTTAATGAGCACAACAACTGAGTGTGAATGTGAAAAATAATGCAGCAGTTTTTATGCTAACAATATTTCTAATAAGGATGAAATGAAATTATTGGCTATTTTCAGGTGTGTGTGATATGTTTAGTACTCATAATTCAATCTGATGACATCAAATCTTTATTTTTAGGGGATTTACTCTTACTTGAGGGAATAAAATTGACAAATTTTAAGAGTCCATGGGTTCCTGGATTAGAAAGTTATATTACAGGCTGGACCAGCAGCTCGGGGCCAGGCTGACACCGCTGCTTCGCCTCACCCCCGCCCGCGACCATGGCATCCTCCAAGGTGGCGCAGCACTTGCTCTTTCAGTCTCACATGGCAACGAAAACAACTTGTATGTTTTCACAAGGATCTGATGATGAACAGAGAAAAAAAGAAAACATTCGTTCCTTGACTATGTCTGGGCCCGTTGGTTTTGAGAGTTTGCTTGATCAGCTGGTGAACAGATCCATTCAGCAAGGTTTCTGCTTTCATATTCTCTGCGTGGGGGAAACTGGAGTTGGAAAATCAACACTGATTGACACATAGTTTAATACTAATTTTGAAGACCATAAATCCTCACATTTTTGCCCAAATGTTAAACTTAAAGCTCAGACATATGAACTCCAGGAAAGTAATGGTCGATTGAAATTGACCATTGTGAATACAGTGGGATTCAGTGACCAAATAAATAAAGAAGAGAGCTACCAACCAGTAGTTGACTACATAGATGCTCAGTTTGAGGCCTGTCTCCAAGAAGAACTGAAGATTAAGTGTTCTCTCTTGACCTACCATGATTCTCGCCTCCATGTCTGCCTCTACTTCATTTCACCGACCGGCCTCTCTCTGAAGACACTTGATCTCTTAACCATGAAGAACCTTGACAGCGAGGTAAACATTATACCAGTGATTGCCAAATCAGATACGGTTTCTAAAACTGAATTACAGAAATTTAAGAACAAGCTCATGAGTGAGTTGGTCAGCAGTGGCATCCAGATATACCAGTTCCCAACAGATGATGACACTGTTGCTAAGATCAATGCTGCGATGAATGGACAGTTGCCATTTGCTGTTGTGGGAAGTATGGATGAGGTAAAAGTCAGAGACAAGATGGTCAAAGCTCACCAGTACCCTTTGGGTGTTGTACAAGTGGAAAATGAAAACCACCGTGACTTTGTAAAGCTGCAGGAAATGCTCATTTATACAAACATGGAGGACCTGCAAGAGCAAACCCATACCAGGCACTATGAGCTTTATAGGCACTGCAAACTGGAGGAAATGGGCTTTACAGATGTGGGCCCAGAGAACAAGCCGGTCAGTCTTCAAGAGACCTACGAAGCCAAAAGACATGAGTTTCATGGTGAACATCAGAGGAAGAAAGAAGAAATGAAGCAGATGTTTGTGCAGTGAGTAAAGGAGAAAGAAGCCATATTGAAAGAAGCTGAGAGAGAGCTACAGGCCAAATTTGAGCACCTTAAGAGACTTCACCAAGAAGAGAGAATGAAGCTTGAAGAAAAGAGAAGACTTTTGGAAGAAGAAATAATTGCTTTCTCTAAAAAGAAAGCTACCTCCCAAGATATTTCACAGCCAGTCCTTTTTGGCAACAGGCAGCAATCTGAGGAAGGACAAGGACCGTAGCAGTAAGAGGCCTAGTCACCCTCCCTGGCAGCCCTGCTCACACTTGCCACATTGCCCTGTCGGATCTTCCTTGTGCTTCCTACTTCTGCTGCCTTATGCTTTGTCGGCCTCCTGCAACTAAATGTCAGCTCCCGAAGAGGAGAGACCTTGTCCCTCTTGTTCACTGCTGTTTTCCCAGCATCCAGAACAGCACCTGGCACATGTTTTGTGTTCAGTGAATATTTGCTAAAATGAATGAATGAATGAACAAAATAGAAATACATCACAGTGTAAAAGGGATCAGTTAGCTGAAGGGGAAATGGTTGCTCTTATTTAATAGCCCAGCCGTGGCCCTAGTACACAGCTAATGGCCACTGACCTACCATGAGTTATTTTGAATTTCATGTCTAAATGCAGCTGTGCCCTTTATTGGGGAATTACAGACATAAAATAGTATTTTACTAAACTAATTCTTAGGTTCAATTTTTTAGAACAGATTCTAATGATACTGATTTTGTGAGAATTTTTATGTTAATAAGGGAACAAAGCTGTCAATTCGAACTCCTGTGTATTGATGTCAGAGCTTGTGAAACCAATGGTGGACGTAAAGATGCAGAGAAAGGTAGAGAGGGTCACAGTGCAAGGGGCAGCCATGAGTAGCATGTGGATGATAATCACAAGGCGTGTAGATTTGGGATATGTGTTAAAATCAGTTACTCAAGTTTTAGAAAATAAGTTTATTTTTCCTTTTTGATAATTTCCTTCTATACTTTATGTCCCTTTTTTCATTTCTCCCACTTAAGATGTCCTTGTCATTTACTTATTTGGCTGTTGAGGAAATTCATCATGCCTTGTTCTGTTCAGAATGCTCATTTGTGGGACTCTGCCTTAGTTTACTCTAGCTGCCTCTGTGCTAGCAGCATCCTCTGCTCCCATGTTCCCTGCTATTTCAGACCCATTTTCAGAATATTGCAACTCAACTTTAAAATAGGAGGACATAATCTTGGCTCGTGGTGGCTTTAAATTTTTTTTTTTTTTTTTTTTTTTTTGGCTTTCAAGTTTTTATATCTGGAGAAATAAATCCACAGGACTTTGGCAGATTTTATTGGCCCATATATTTTACAGGTATTTTTGGAAAAAAGGAATTCTCATGTATGATCTTTCAATGTAAGCTCTCCAAGAGCCTGGATCTTTATCTTGTTTATTGATGTAGCCATCCCCAGAGCCGAGAGCAGTGTCTGCTACATAGTAGGCATGCAATTATTTGTTAAAGAATAAATATGATAGTAGTATAAAAGCTATATTTTATTCAAGTATTGAATTTTGAAAGATAAACTATACAGTTATTACTGCCTTTCAACCTGCTTTGGATTTTAAAGCTAATGGATCTTTTATTAATATATCTTTTTTCTTCATCTTAACCCAGTGTTACTAAAATTAGATTCCCCCCATTTTTTTCTCATATATGAAAGATAAATTACATTTACTTTGTAAAAATTATCACCCTGCTCCACTTGAGAACCCCACTGTTGTTTGCAAAATCAGGACCAAGCCCATATTTTTTGAGAGCTCTTCTAGAAGAATTTATCTTCAAGAAAATATGGTTTGGTGTTTTTGTTTTTTTTCTTTGCTTTTTCAAAGTCCTGTAGCTAGATATCCTATAATATACTAGATGCATATTTGCTAATTTTTACTTCTTGAATGTTTTTTTTAAATTGTACCAATTAAAGGATTCTTTTTTTTTCCAGCTCCAATTTTTTGTAAAACAGAAGTTCCAGAGCACAGGTCATCATCACAAGCAAACTTTATTAAAAAAAAAAAAACAACTAGAAGTGTGCTTTGATTTTGTTGTTTTTATTTGCTTTATCACTTCGTCTATATTTGGCAGATGGCCACAGTGACTGATATTTATGGAAAATTACCTTCAAGCACAAGGTCAATATGTAAGCCAGAGTGAATGATATTACAAGTTGAGCATCTCTAATTCAAAAATCTGAAATCCAAAAGCTTTAAAATCTAAATCTTTTTGAGTACTGACTTGACCCCATGAGTGGAAAATTCCCCACCTGACACCTTTGCTTTCTGATGGTTCAGTTTAAACAGATTTTGTTTCTTGCACAACATTACTAAAAATGTTGTATAAATTACTTTCAGGCTATATGTACAAATAAGGTGTATGTGAAACATAAATGAATTATGTAATTAGAGCTGGGTCCCATTGTGTGTATGTAGATATTCTCGAATCTGAAATCCGAAACATTTCTGGTGGCTAGCATTTTGAATAAGGGATACTTAGCTTGTACCTATATATTCATATATGTTTGCTGTTGTTAGAAATTTTTAAGTTGCAGTTTTGTGATGACTAAATCTTTTCTCTTGCTACCAAGCTATTGTCACTACAGTGCATTATACCAAAGAGCACAGTGTCAGTGCCATTGAAAATACAGAACCCATTCATATCGGGGCTATCTGATTGCATTTATAGTCCAAGATGAACATTTTTTATATATACTAAAAATTGTGTGGAATATGTTTTGGGATGTATTATAGAGCTAAAACTCTAACCTCTTAATAGTTTTATAGAACTAAAATTTTTGATAGTTACCCTGTTGGTGATATGATCTTAAGCTTTTGTGTCAAATTATTTAACATGATGTCTTCATGCTTCAGGATGCCTTATTGTGGCTCTTGTATTACTATGGTGAAACAAAATATCTTTAAAAGTCAAAACATCCAGCTATATAAACTCTTTTTTTCCTAATGAGAAAGTACCTTTGAACATGGGTGTATCACAGTTTTCATTAGGAAAACATTCCATTACATAACTTGTTTAAACTCTGCCTTCCAGGGAAAAAATAATAAGGTTGAATCACTTTATTAAAAATATTTTTTAAGAAAATATGAACATCTGAATATTAAAGATATAAAATGCAGATAATTCATATTTTATGTGATGTTTATATTCAGTGCCTTACTATTCTCAACACTAATGATTTCTAACATTTCTTAACTTTCATAGATAAATTTTAATTTTTTGTACTTGAATATTCTAAATAAAACTGACATTTACTCTTGACAAATAAAACATATCTATATATTTACTTAAAAAAAGAAAGAAAGTTATATTACAGGCTTACTAGCAGAGGAATATTTCTAGTAGCCTGAAATCTATTCTGTGTAAGGAAGAGTCTGTTGATTCTGTACCTTATACTTTCTCTGTCACTCTCCACCTACCTGTTTAAAGAGACTAGTTCTTTCCGACTGACCTTTTATTGATGCTCTTAAAATCTTTATTTCTATCTAGGGTGAGCCCGTCACTTTCTGTGAGGAGAGTTTTGTAAAGCACCGCTCAAGCGTGATGAAACACTTCCTGGAGACTGCAGTTAACCTCCAGCTTTTTAAACAGGTAAGAGTGGACATCCACATTATTCTTTTGTAACGGAACATTGTCAGTTTCACACATTTGTATCGCTATAAAACTGTACAGCCCTGAGTAGCATCCTTCCTAGAATTTCAGGAAATTTTTCTTTCTTTTATACCTGTGTAGCTTGTTATGATAAAGCACTCTAGAAATATTATGTAATAACTTTGTTATTAAAACATTTCTCATCAAATGTTGCTGAGCTTAAGGTCTCATTGAGGAAGGATATACATTCACAGAAGAAGAGACTAGTTTTATTTATATAAGGCATCCTTGGAGAAGTTATTTTTGTATGCTGGATCAATATGGTAAACAAAAAACTATTTTTTATAGGAGTATTCCAATGTAATACAGTCTATAAAATAATTCATAAAATGAATATTTAACTTTTTAAGCTTTTTAAGACTTTTTATTACTCATAAATTCAGAATTAAAAATAAGACTCATAGTTATGCTGTTTGTCCTGATTTTTGGTTCAGAAAATATAATTGCTATTTCAAGAAAGCCGTAGCTTGACATCAGATTTCAGAATATTTGGATGCACTGGTTCTGTCATCCCATTGTGTTATAACAGCAAGTCTCTTAAACTGGGTTGCCTTACTTAGTTTCTATATACAAAATTTGAATTAAGTTCTTAACACTTGCTTTTCTTATTCCACATGACAATTTTAAGTGTAAAGTTTACTATGTGAATTAAGCATTTAATGTAGACCTACTGTGTGTCATAAAGTGTGCTCAGGGCCAGGATACAAAAATGAATAAAACTCAGTAATGCCCTTGAGAAGCTGACAATCTAACAGATTTCTTTGAACTGTTAGAAGTGAAGATATATAACTCAAAGCAACCTTCAAATTAGGTCAGTAAAGAAATCAGCATGACAACAATTAATGCTACTATTGAGGAAATTTAAAAAAATAATATGAGATTAGAAAATACTCTGGAGCGGGGGAGATACCTGTCTTCCAGTAAGTGAAGTTTTATATTAAGGAAAGGGTTAAAGCTATCCTACACACAAACCTAAGAGGCATGAATTTCAGGATCAGAGATGTCTTGTGAATTTCCAGAAAATGGAGTGGGATGCTTTTGGAGCTTTTTGTCCCTAGAGGTATCCAAGCATAGACTGAATTACTTCCCAGGGTTGAAAGGAAGATCAAGTGATAGTGCTTTATAAATGCTGAAGTATAGCACAGTACAATCCCAAGCTAGTCATGCAATGCATGCTTGTTGAGTAAAATATCGGTACCTTTTTGTATTTTTCTCTATCACTGTCTTCCACTATCAAAATTGGGTTGCGAAGATTAAATTATATGAGGGTCAAGGATTGAATGGGTAGGTAGAATATCTAACTTACTTTCATTTGATCATGAGCTTCTGCAACTAGATCCTTACCATACTAAATGTTTTATTAAAAAGTGAATAAAAGTGTTGTGTTTTTTTTGCATTGTTACAGAAGCATATACATCTTGACTATATCACAGAATATCTATTTTTCATTAGCATATATTTCTTTTTCTTTAAAATAGAAATATTACCACCTGCCTACCTCACAGGATTATAATAAGGTTTATTTGAAGGATTATAATAAGGTTTATGTGAATTAATACAGGTGCACTCTCAGCACAATACATGGTGCTTTGTTGATGCTCAGCAAATCTTAATGTCTGCCTCATTCTTAGAGAAATTACATTAGAAAAATATATATCTGTGTAGGACTTTTAAAAAAATACAATTTGGTCAAGAAGGTTAAATGTAAAATATGAAAATGGTCAACCAGAGAACTAATTATGTGGACAATATAGTTTTTCTTGCACAAATTGGCTGTCTTCTAGTACTGGATATACTCATGACTCTTAAAAGAGTGATACTTGAAGTTAGTCCTGAAAGGATTGAAAAGATTCTTGTTGATAGAGTTTCACGAACTTCTAAAAGAAGAGTCAATTGGTAAAAAACTAATACAGATGAATCCTCAAAGACACTACTGATATGGCTGAAAAAATATATAAAAATATTTATTAGATACAAAAGATTTATGACTATGGCTTTGTGATCCATTATAGATCTAGAATTATTCAGGTTAACTCCTAGCACAGCTTATACTTCAAATTTGAGAGGACTTTGACCCAGGAGAGTAGCATATAGTTTTAAGGAAAAAGTTAAAGTGAAGTTTTATCTCTGATAATATGGCAGGGTAGGATCCATAGATAACCTACATGCTACAATTTAAAACATAACATTTAAAGAACTCCTTATGTCAAAGCCTAGTGCTCACTTTACAAGATAAGAAGTGTATTAGGAGACCCAGTTCCCATAATGCTGAGAAGACTTAGTGTACAAATAGACTAGAAATAAAGGTGCTTCTTTTCTCAGTTTTCTGGAGATCTGTAAGGAAACTTACATATCCAAAGCATTAGTGCTGGGTAGAGGGAAGGGAAAGTCCTGCTAAGAAGTAACCACGTGTCAGCCTGCACAGGAGTTTGCAACCTGAATTCATATTTTCTGATTTTGTCTGACAAAACTCAAACCAAATTTAAAGTGATCCTAAATGTTAGTGCCCCTAGATCTCAAGAAGAAGAAAACATACATTCTCTCTTGAGGAAATCACCTACAGCCAGGCATCAAAGAATTCTTTCATTCAGCTAAAATCCAAAAGGAAATTTTACTGTTAAAAATGATTAAAAATACAAGAAAACAAATTATAAATGAAAGCTGGCAGAAACAACAGACAAAATGACTTGAAAATACTTTAAACATTGGAATGATCAGAAATAGAATATGAAATAGCCAGGTTTAACAGGTTGAAAAAAGAAACAAGCTTTAAAATGTTCAGAGAAGGAAAACTTAAAAGAGTGCAAAGCCAGTTTCAAAAAGGTAGCAAATAAACTTCTGTTAAGGAAGCATGTAATAATTGAAATTAAAGAAGTTGATGGGTGTAACTGCAGATCAGATCTAAATGAAGAGAGACTTGCTAAGCTAAAGATATATTTGAAAAAGAAGTCGTACAGAATATGGTATGGAAAGACAGAGAAATAGAAAATATAGGAAGCTGATAGAGGGTAGAGTAAGAATGTCTTAAAATTCATATAGTCAGTTCTAACAGGTGAAGACAGAAAATGGAGCAGAGACAGTAGTTGAAAGGATACTGCCAGAACCTATGAAAATATACCACTTTATAAATTTATAAAGTCTTAACATCCAAATTGAATAAAGAAAAAGGAATCTGTGCCCATACACAGTGTATATTCAGCGATGAAACATTAAAGAAAGGGGAATATTTTTTTCAGCAACTGCAGCAAATTTTCAAAAATAGAAGAGAGGAAAGATTACCTTCAAAGGAACAACATATTGCCAATTTCACATCAGCAACAAAGGAATCTAGAAGATACTGGCATGATATCTTCAATGTCTTGAGATAAAAATACCTAGAATTCTCGCCAAACAAAGCACCTTTTAATTATGAGTTACATGAGGACATTTACCAACAGAAACCGCGTTTCCCCTCCCCAGCCCAACTTGTATTGGTTTTATTGATGTATCTACTTGGCTAGGCCATCATCCCCAATTATTCCATCAAACAATAATTTAGGTCTTGCTATGCAGGGATTTTACAGATAAAATGAAATCTCCAAATCATTTGACTCTAAATAAAGAAGACTGTTCTAGATAATTTGATGGGTGGACCTATCTGAATCACTTGGAAAGCCTTAAAAACAGGACTAACCAGCCTGGGCAGGATGGTGAAACCCCATTGCTATAAAAAATACAAAAATTAGGGCCGGGCGCGGTGGCTCACGCCTGTAATCCCAGCACTTTGGGAGGCCGAGGCGGGTGGATCACGAGGTCAAGAAATCGAGATCATCCTGGTCAACATGGTGAAACCCCGTCTCTACTAAAAATACAAAAAATTAGCTGGGCATGGTGGCACATGCCTGTAATCCCAGCTACTCAGGAAGCTGAGGCAGGAGAATTGCCTGAACCCAGGAGGCCGAGGTTGCGGTGAGCCGACATCGTGCCATTGCACTCCAGCCTGGGTAACAAGAGCGAAACTCCATCTCAAAAGAAAAAAAAATACAAAAATTAGCTGGACATGGTGATGCATACCTTTAGTCCCAGCTACAAGGAGGCTAACATGGGTCACCTGAGCCTAGGAGGTTGTGGCTGCAGTGAGCTGTGAGTGTGCCTGCCACTGCACTTCAGCCTGGGCAACACAGTAAGACCCTGTATCAAAACAAGCAAACAACAACAACAGCAACAAAACAGGAGTAAGGTTTCCTTCAGAGAGAGAAGAATCCTACTTGTGGATGACTACTTGGGCCTTAGTTCAAGACTGCCCATGATTTTCCTTTACTGACAGCCTGTCCTGTGAATTTCAGACTTGCTAAGCCTATTCCTTCTCATAAATCTTATGTGTGTATGTGTATATATAGAATCTCCAACTGGTTTTTCTTCTCTGGTTGAACCCTGACTGATACACCAACAGCAAAAAGAAATCCTTAGGCAAGTACCTCGGGGAGAAAATTTTCTCAAATGAAAGATCCAAGCTGGAAGGTCTGAGATACAAGAAGTAAGGAAGAGCAAAATAAGAGTTAAATATATGAATTAAATTCAAACAGTATTGATTGTATAACGCAGTCAAATTATTTTATATGTTTAAGACTCGAATGGCTCCAATTCAAATTCCAAAAAGTTCTCATTTTGAATATAGCAAACAGGAAATGCTCCTTAACTGATTTTGTAAAGCTAACATAGTCTTGATTCCAAAGCCTAAGACAGTGTGAGAAGAGAGCATTATAGGACAGTCTCACATGAAAGAATTTAGACAAAATACTTGCAACTCATTCTAGCAATATATAAAAAGGATAATACTTCATGATTAATAGCATTTATCCCAGAAAGGAAATAGCAGTTGCACGTGAAAACCTGTCAATATAATTAAATGTATTAACTGATTACAGAAGAAAACTTATTAGATCATCTCAACAGGTGCC